TTAGTGAACAAATCATCGTAAATCATTCCCAGACCAAGTAATAACAATATGCATATACCTTACTTATAGCTGTTTTTATGATGGTTTGTTTCTCCCGAGCAGGAACAATGGCGCTCAGTTCCTGCATTGCAAATTCATATTCTTACAAATGAAAGCTAATGCTGAAAAAGGCTTTTGCCCCGCTTTTTATATATAAAGCCACAACCGATACAGATGAAGCACACAAACGCACACCAACCCTGCTAGGGATACCAGCTATACAAGAGAAGCTCAAACAGCAAAATAGATAGGAACAACAAAATAGAGAAGCTCAAATGAAAGGATAATGAGCGAATAGGTAGGAACATTCCAGTCCCAAAAAGCAAAGATAACAACACTGTTATAAGATAAGTACCTGTAGTCCAAGGCCCCAATTATTTAGAGCCTGCAATTAGAGAAGCAAACAAGTTAGGGGTAGAAGCAGCACTAATATGATAAGTGAATACTTAAAAAAATCAAAATTAAGAAACTGGAAATCGTAGTGATTTCATAATGTTTCATCTCATAGCTTTCCTCCAAAATGCATAACGGAGACAAATAAATACAAAATGATAAGACTAACTTAAGGTAACAGAAGATTTTCTGAACTCGCATCAAAATGTGTGCCGTTGTTATTAATAGAAAATCAAAGCAAAAGTGCAAAAAACCAAAACAAGACTAGGAGAAGATCTACTCTAATCTACAAAAAAGAGAGACGGGCGTCCCTCATAAGGCTGTAATCATGGGTCAAGAGGCCTAAAGGGCTTTTGGTCCTGCTGCCTTCGACAATCGACCTCGGCCAGAATCCCATTGACCAGCACCTGACAAACTGGCCTACATTGGCGAAAACACAGTCGTCTCTCAAATTCCAGATTTGCCAGTGGCAGGGTAATTCCCTTGGCCTTTGCACCAGTCTTTGTTCCCACCATGAACAACCATGAGTCCAAGCATAAAATAAATGAAGGATGCCAATTGAACGACAATATTTTTAAAATTTGTTTTGAATATCTTGGACATTTTGAGGTAAGAGCAGAGTTTGACCACGCCTATATCTTAGATGAACAAATTAGGCCATTTAAAATCAATTGTTTGAAATGGAAATATAGTAGGCCTGCCTCTATAGAAGGTTCCCTGCAACATATGTGAACTCCATATGTGATAGAATCTTACAGTAATGTTATCATCTCGAACTCTTCTCAACAACAACAACAACAACAACAAAGACTTCAGTCCCAAACAAGTTGGGGTAGGCTAGAGGTGAAACCCATAAGATCTCGCGACCAACTCATGGCTCTGGCACATTTATGGTATTTTTTATCACATTTACATGTGTACTTTTTTGCTCAATGAATCAAATAGGACCATTTCTACCTTTTTGTTTCATCTTATATTGTGCCGTTAAGAACTTAAAATGAATTAAAAAAGGGTTCAGCGCTGACCTGCGGGCTATTCCAATTTAGCTGGACAGCCTTCTCATAATTCAGTATTGCCTGGGGGAAAAGGGAAATTGTATAAAATTGCATGCTATCATACTTCACCTATAAATTTAAAAGTTCTAGACAGTACAACAGTATATTTGGCATAAATAGGAATAACTATCAAGCTTCTGATATAGCAATAAAATATTAAAATCTCTGGTATGTACATCAGGAATGTCATATATCTGGAGGTGAGTGCTGGCAGAAGTTAAGCTGATGTATGTACCCTTGCAACAGAGAAAATACAGTTTCCATCTATTTGGCCCATGCCAAAGAGTTAAGTCAGTTAGAATAGCAATAAGTGCTTCAGCAAAAAAACAAAAACTCTTGCTACAAGAAGTGATTCCATGACTGTTTCGAGAAGGTGCATTTAACCCAAACACCATGGAAGTAAAACATATGAACCAGAATCCAAAATCCACCCAATAGCCTGGTTTTTTAGAATGTGCATGAAACCAAAGGACACTGAGAACAAAAAATAGACACGGGAAGATTACTTATGTAAACCTCTAGGACTTCTTTTTTTCATCCTACCATCCCATTACGGAATTTATCTCTTTTTGAATCTGTTTTTTAATAGATTATGACTTCAAAATTTCTAACAAATCAACGTAAATACGAGGAATCTATAAGAAACTAAGCCTCAAGCGCTGTTATATCACTGTATAAGTATAGTTTACTATGTGTTCCTCAGAACATTAAGTAAATCATCTATCAGGGATGAGGTTCCATGCTGCTTACTACTCCCTCCGTCCAGAAATACTTGCCGGAGGAATGAATGTATCTAGACGTATTTTAGTTCTAGATACATTCATTTTTATGCATTTCTCCGACAAGTATTTCCAGACGGAGGGAGTATTCAACTAGCCAAAGTGCAATTTTCAATCAAGTATGGAGGAGTATGCAGCCAAATTGTTCTATATTATTTAGAACAAAAGCGCATTTGATCATCTAAACAACAGAATCAACCAAAAGTGCATCACTCGCCAAGCCTCACAACCACTGCAGACCAAGTATAGTAATAGCAGACAGACATACTATCTGGTCACGGTAACATGAGAAAACTTCAGCGCTTAATACAAACAAAGCCTATACATATGTGAACCAACCAGTCTCCAGAGATCTTCGGCTTCTTTGGTACGACCTCGTATTTTAGCTCGATCAGCAATAGCAATGGCCCAGTTATAGTATGCCTAAAGGGAAAATAAACGTGTCAAAAAAAGAATCAATAGTCAAAATGTGGATATGTCCGTCAAGATATGAAGTGATGGACAGTGAACATTTATCCACTAGAACCATGAGGGCACATTCTGTACAACTAGCCAAGAGCTTAACAGACTAAATAATGAACGTGCCATAGTATTTTGCACAATATAAAACCAGAGAACTAATACACTATCAATTCAAATACCAAACCAATGTAACAAATAAGAAACTTACATCATAAAGAGTCAGGCAAAGTCGGGTAGCTTCAGCATACTTTTTGCAGGCCTCCTCAAGTAACGCGTCTTTGGAGGAACCAGAATTGGGGTCCACATTATCTGCACTCTCCTAAAATAATAATTTGAAAAGGGTGAGCACGTAATAACCTTGATATCAATCTTGTGATGTCCATTTTGCATGCATGGTTTAAACGACAAAAATCCAATTCCGCATTGGTCACAGTAAGTGTTAAGAAAGTTATTGTGCAAATATGGTTTAAGGGCTATAGATTTACCTGGAGGACTAGGGCCCAATTATAATATGCATCAGGGTCATCAGGATTTCTTTCAATTGCATTTAGATATCTGCATAACAGATCTTTAAGACTTGATAGCAGTAAAGAAATAAATACAGATGAAGTCCACAAAAATTTGT